GCCCCACTCCCCCTCAGCCTCAACCTCAACAATGTCGTGTTCTATATACTTGGCTCCGGGCAAGGTCATCAGATTGGTAATGGGAATGGGAATGACTCGGACTCGGACGCACTGGCCAATTTGTTTTGGCCTGTTTGCCTATTTGCTCAGTTCGCAGTCGGTGAGCAAACATTGGCCAACGAAAGTGTTGGCCGGCGCGGGTCGTGACTAAAATTGGTAGAAAAGGGCCAGGCAACACACCTAGTTTAGGGCATTACGTAATGGCCAAATATCCAAGTTTGCACTGCCAAATCTCCATATACAATGTGTATATATTATGTGTACAGTATCTATATCACACAGAATGCGAGGTGCACGTAGGTGTTTGGCATTTTTTACACTTTTCGATTTGTTTGCTGTCCGAATATAAATTTTTGTTGGTGTTTTCGCCTTGCCAGCCCACACGGCGTTGATGCAAAATCTTGGAGTCGTCGTCATCGGGTTGCCACCCACACACGATTTTGGTTCAACGCCTCGTTCTGGACGTGGGTGAGATTTCAAGTTTGATTTGTGCCAAAAGCCACCACCAAATGGCCATTGATTTCTCAATGATTCTGATTCTGATGCTTAAGTGGCGGCTGTCGGGCTACACAACTCTGTTTCAAATTCGGCTGTGGGAATGAATTTGGTTAGAGGTTCTATGACAACGTCATTAACTTTTGAAATATAGTAGACTAACTCGTGTGGAGGTGAAGCCCATAATTATGGTGATGGATGGTTTGGGAATTTACTACAAAAAGTTTATATGTTCTTCTCTGGGTCTTTAAAACATGAAGCTTCCTGAGGATGATGGCTTGTTTGTGCTACAAGTTGTTTATTTTTATTGATTTTTTATGAAGTGTTTAGTTATCTGGTTAGTGATTGGCTGTGAAATTTGTGGAGGAACTTTTGGCATTTCGTAATTCGAGATATAAAGCTAATAGGCGACTTTTTGTAAAACACATTCTGTTTCCTGTTGGCCAACTGCGAGTGTAAGGCCTGAGGGCCACGCCTGAAAGCCAAACGATGGCTCATTAGCGAACGCTTCTACGGCAAACAGAGGTTTATTTTTGGCAACAGTTTATAGCCGTTTGTCATAAATAGAAAACACACATGCCCATGCCAGCCGACATTCCCTACGCTTTTCGAGCCGCTGCCAAGTTTGTGTCTTCAGTCTTTTGATTAATGCCGTTAGGCGTCGCCAAAGCGCAGCCAAGCCAAACCTAGCACTTGAACATGTGAGTGTTTATTATGGTGTGTGTCTGCGTGAGCACTTGTGTTCTATTGTTTTTTAATTTTTGCTCATTACTCTGCCTCGTTTATTCGTCTAAAAGCCGCAGCAGCAATTACAATTGGCTAGACCAAAGAGAAAAGGGGTCTTATTGTTTTAGTTTTGTTTTTTTTTTTCGGAATAAAAGCCTTTAAAAACCAATCGAACAGCGTAAAAACCAGATTCAGATTCAGACGCAAAACGCAGACTCAGATTCGCTTTCGGTTTAAGTTTTAGTCTGAGTTTGGGCTTGGGTTTTGTTTTTGTGTTTTCGCTTCCCCCATCGCATTCGCTTATTATGCAATGGGCTAGGCCCGCCGCCGCCGCCAGATATCTGAATATCTGACTATCTGGCTATCGGGCGGAGTCCGACTTTTGGTATTTATGCTCTGGCCTATTCACACGCTCTGCTCCGACGTTGCCCGTTCACGTGTTTAGCACAAATTCCGCACTCTAACCCCTCTAATTTAAGCAGCAGTATACAAAATTAGAACAAAACACGGCACGCAAGTCTTGGTCTTGGGGCTTTGGGGCTTGGAATTATAAAACCAAAGCAAACGGGCCAAAAATAAAGCCAAAATTAAACACAAGACAAAAGCGAGACGAGACATAAGATTCATAAGTAAAAAAAAACAACAAAAAATAATTGTATTTAACGTTAGAAGTTATTAAAAAGTCAGCGGGGCGGGAGCCCCACATATCAGCTTATGTGTAGTACAAGTTAATAGCCGGAGTGCCTTGTTTTGCTTTTGTTTCTATCTTTTTTTTTTTGGTATTATATTTTCCCCTTTTGGCACTTGTTGCTTACACTTCGATTGCGGGATTGCGGGGTTTTGGGGGCTTAACTTGGCGTTCAATTCGAAAACACGTCCAACGCGCACGAGTTACTCACAGAGACTGAACTGAGCAGTTCAGCGATCTGGCCGAAAGCTCGTCGTCTGGCCAAGAGGGAGCTTCCACTGGAATTGGTGGTCGGAACTTGGAAAACGATGACGTCGTTTTCGGCGTGATCTCGGCTTGTTTTGTTACCTTTTGGCTTTTGTTTTGGGCTCTCGCTTCGCTCAGGTGCCAGCCTCAAACTCACGTTGCTCGGCTTCCGCTTACCAAAGCGGCTAAGAGCGGCTAGCAGCTAAAAGCTAACAGCTAGCAGCTAGCGGCTAGCGGCTTGTTATTCAGTTCGCTTCGGTTCTCGAGTGTTGGCCTAATGGACTCGAACTCGGAGTGGAGCTCGTTAATTGCAGGCGTCGGCATTGCGATGAGTGTGTGGTTTTGGTTTTGGCTTTTGTAATTGAACAATTTTGCGGCTTTTTCTCAGATCTCTCATTGATTACGCCATGCATTGGCTGTTGCAGTGGCAGTGGCAGTTGCATTCGATGGATGAGTCGATGAATCGATGGATTGTTGGATTGCTAGATTATTGGATGGTTGAATGCATTTACCCTTTCCCCCGTCCATAATCCCCCATTTGTAATCCCCAACTCCTGGCCAAACGAAACGCACGTTTATTTCATGTATTAAGAATTTTTCTGTTTTGATTTTATTTGTATTTCAGTTTTTATTTTGTGGCTTTGTTGTTGTCGTTTTATAATTTCATTTTTTCATCGTTTTGTGTGTAAGTGTGTGTGTTACCCTTTTCAGATTTCAGAGTGGTTCAGCAATGTAAACGGCTTTGAAACTCTCACGCTATAAGCTCGATTTACCTTCTGCAAATCGGGGCCCTGCCATATCTGATCTGAACTATAGTGACCGTTAAAAAATGCATTTTAGTTGCTTGACGATCTCTTCTATATGTGAAGTACATGCTGAATTAATTTTCTGTTTAGTTCTTATAAATTAATTAATTAATTTTAATAGTAAAAATAAAGCTATAAATGTCTTGCTTTTTTTGTGTGTTTTTGGTTTTTTTTTTTCATTTCTTCTATTAGATCTCAATGCATAAAATAATGTAAAAAATTATTATTATGTAAGCCATTCAAACTTGCAGCCATTGTTTTTCACTTTTGGCATCAACAACACAACCGAATCGATGTAGTTCCTTGTTCTTCCTTTTTACGTTCAATAACAAATAGATATATGTCTATATAATGCGTTCTAACGGAAAACCTTCGGAGAAATCAGAGGGAATAAATCTAACAAACGACAACCAGGATGTAGAGACCCGTCTCTGGCCCGGTCCTGGGGTAAGCGTGCTAATAAGCCATAAAAATGTAATTAATTTAGATATACATATTATTCAACTTTAACTTTGGCAATAATTGGCTAACTAAGGAATCAAAACTCCGATAAACTCTCACAAGTTGTCGTTAGTTTTCATTTAACACGTTCCTTGTTCATTTTTGTATAAGCTTTTGTCTTAGATGAAACCCCATTTGATGTTTATTGTAATTATTAATTAATTTTTAATCCGTTATATGATAATCCGAAATGTAATTAGGTTGAAAAACATGAAAAAGGAGTAATCCTTCTATTCGCTGACTTGGAAATAGAAATTAAGTTAGTACTTTGTCGACGAAAAATCTAAGAAAAATCCTAACAAAATTCGAGTCAAAGTTTCATTATTTTGGCCTATCATTTTTGGCATGAAATGAGTTTCGTTCCAGTTTCCGTTCTCCCGGCAGATACTCAAACGTATCCTGGCTCATTCTCTAGAGTTTAGAATCTTATTTGAGTTAGCTATATAATTATTAGATTTCCTTATCAACTCACTTCTGGGTTTCTAAAATTTTCTTCACATTTTTTTTGTTTTCTTTTTTTTTTATTTGGGAGTTGACACTGAACAAGTTGCTTATACGACCGCGATTCGATCTTTTTTGGTCTTCTCTGGTACACATCTAATGGTATAACTAGGTATAACTAGAATTATATCTAAATTAATTCATTCGTCTCATCGCAGCCCCCATATTATGGGGAGTCCTGAACTGCGTCCTGCGTTCTGCTACAGAACCATCGATTTCCTAAGATACAATGTATTATGTGTTATGTCTCAACTACGATCTTCAGCATTGGTTTTTAGAGTTTTGTTTTGGGCGACTAACTAAATTTAAATACATTTAGACCTTTAAACTTTTCTTTATCATATCATGTATAATGTAGATATATCATTTACGACAGTAGTACAATATAGTATTGCATTAAAAGTGTTTTCTTTTCGAGAGACCTACTCGTTTATATTGATTTTATTAATAGTGTAATGTTTTTAGCTTGATCTTTGAGTTTTTCCTTCTCTCTATAGTACTATATAGGTTTTTATTTTTAATTTATTTTCGAGTGTGTGGTGTATGCTCTGGCAGTTCTTTTCCAATAGTACAAATATTTTGCAAATATTCACTTAGTTGTCCATAAATTGTTTATGCATTATTTTCAGTTTTAAAGTAAATCGTTTCCCATATACACATCTAGTAAATTTTCATTTATTTCACGAATTACAATTAGCAAATATTACAATAGATATATGACGTATTCATTTGTTACACACATGAGTTAAAGTAATCTTTATGTTAGTTATTTTTTCGGATGATCTATACTAGTACTGACAGGCTATACGCCGTCGTCAATGCTCGATGCTAATGCTAACTTGAGTCCTAGATCGAAGGTATTTACAATGGGGAATTCGAGTACCCGTTTCGGTTCGGTTTAGTAACCATTTAAAATGAAGCAAGAGCGCCTAGGCCTAATGATGTCCCTATAATTCTCAATCTATTTCCGATTTTCGTAGTGTGTGTATGGCAAAAGTGTGGTAGTATGAGACTGGCTAAGAAGTTGAGACTGGTTTCTGGAAAAAGTTACTTCGGAATGTCTATTAAAGCTCTTCCGATCCCCCGCCAAAAACTCTTACATACAATTGTTTAGGGTATTTTGATCAGAGTTTTCTCTTCGTATTTACAGATAGTCGGGCCCAGTCGAGGCCCAGACCTTTCGCTATTGGCAGTGCCATTTGTATTTTTTTTTATACTTTAAATTTAACATTTTGTGGTGTCGCATGATCATAAGAGATTTTAATTGCACATCTTTGGGGATGCCTGGCGCCCTCTCCTCCCCCTCGTAACTCATAGCTCTCCACACATCTCTCGGTGCTTGTGTCTAAAGCGAGCAGTATTTGGCACAGATCTGTGTCCCCGCCTCAGCCGCCTGATCCGCCAGATCCTCCTGATCCTCCCCAGCCTCCGTCCGATCACGATCTTGATCCCGATCCTCCTGCTGCTGTGTAGCTGCTGCTGCTCCTGGTATATATTTTTTGGTTTTTTTATTGTTTAGTAAGGCAATTAAGGATGCATGCATGACACACACATACACACAAGAACACACACACATACAGATGTAAATACAAAACACTGTGGGTGAGAGTGTGGGCGAGAACGAGATCGAGAGAGAGAGAAACACAAACATGGACGAGCAACAGGCAAGACAGAGAAGGTGGCGACTGAGAAGGGGGCGAGAGGGCGAGATGTGAGATTCAGGATGCAGGATGCAGAATGCTGGATGCGGTATGATTATCGCCAAGTTGCCAGATCGGATGCAGTTCAGTTGTCAGATGATCGATTGTGATGATCGTGGAGTCATGAGGAACATGATATGTACGCCATACCGATCGCCTGATGGGGCAGCACGCTCCCGTGTTATATGATACTCTCTCTGTTCCGCTCCAGCTCTTCCGTCTCATTCTCCGGGTCCACGCTCGACGTGGAGGACACGCCGCATATCTGCATCTCGATCTCGGCCAGTCGGTTCTCCAGGTCCCATTGCTGTTGCGATAGCTTCGTATTCAGTGCCTGGTTCTCCGATTCCACCGTGTGCAGTCGCTCCCTCAGCCGCTTGATCTCGTCCTCGAGAGCCTCGTGGGAGCCCAGAAGGGGCGTGGTTCCTCCACCGGCTCCGCCCACTCCGGCGCCATAGCACTCGAGCTGGGAACTGGAGTCGCAAATGTGTCCTGTGGATGAAAGACAAATCGTTACAATCCTTCGGGGGACATTCAGGACTTTCGTTCTCACCGGTGTGACTGGGCTGCGATTGGGGTCGTATCGAGTGATGCGAGGTGGCTCGACTGCGCGGTCTTTCCTCAGACCCATGGGCACTAGGACTCACCGATCTCGGCGAGTCGGTGGCGCGGGCCAAACGATCTGCATAGCTGCGGGGACTAAAAAAATTATGAAAATGATTCAGTAATTCAATGAAAAAACGAATTATCTTTTAAAAAACTGAGTAATGGTTCAGAATAATGGAAGCCTTTAAATCCATAGGAGTATTTATATTACTTAAACCTAATCCATATTTAAGCATTATATAAAAACCTAGGAAAATGGAGTCACAACACTTACACTTTTGGAATCCTTTTTAGCGATATCTTTACTGTTTCTCAACCAATTTAAAAGCGGAATACCATTTTTGAATCAGAAATAGTTTCACCTTCAATCTACGTCAAAAGCGATGAAAAATTAAACATCAAAATTTTTGCCCAATTTTTGGCTATAATCTGTAACACCTTTGGGGTAACACCTTTGAAAATTTGGAAAAATAGGGTCAAATTTTACTTTTCTAGATTTTGTTTGCGAATGAAACTACTTCAAAGCACAAGGTCGGGAAGGTGTATCATTTCTTTATCTGACAAATATTAGCCGAGTTATGACTCATTTTCTGAAAAAAAATACTCCGAAAAGCAAGTTAAGACCAGGAGTTGCTAAAATAGAAACTTTTAAGTTACTTTGCAGCCAATATTTTAATTATTTTACATCGGATTTACAAACGGAATACCAATTATAAATCGGTGTTTCAATCTCCTTTGATCCAAATAAAAATATTGACAAAATACTCGAAAAAAAATTTTGAAAAATTTTTTGTGAAAATTGTGATGGTACCCCTTTGAAAATTTTTGAAAATGGGGTAAAATTTTATTTTTCTAGATTTAGATTGAAAATAATTATACTTGGAAATACAAGTTTGGGAAAGTATACCATTTCTTGATCTGCCAAGTATTAGTCGAGTTATACGCATTTTTCCATTAGGAAAAGTCAAAAAATTGTAACAGCGATTTTGATATTTTTAATTTTGAAAAATTGTGACCTTTTGACACACGTTTAACGGATGTTTTAACTATTTAGCAACCAATTTATAAACGGAGTACCATTTATGAATCAGGGCTCTAATCTCCATCGATCTGCATCAAAATATTGCAATTTTCGAAAAATAAAAATTTTGACCAATTTTGGTCCAAAATCATGTTACCCCTTTGAAAAATTACCAAAAAATGGTCATAATTTTTATTGCCAGATTTTAATAGAAACTGAAACTACTCGAAGATCTAAGATCAGGAAGGTATAACATTCATAAATGTGACAATTTTTGGCCAAGTTATTTCCAATTCTCTATAAAAAAGGACTCGTTTTCCTGGCTAAGACCATGGTGATGAAAATTGGCCAAAATGTTATCTATTTAGAAGCTACCTTAGCCAAGCTATGGCAACATAGGAATTTACAAAATATTCTTGTACTAAGCTCACCTGTAGCCATGCTGCTGCGAAGACTGTTGCGTGGACTCCTGCCGATGGGGCAGATGGGTCGGCTGGGCGGCCTGGTGCTGTAGCTGCTGCTGCGGCTGGAGTGGCTGCTGGTGGTGGTGCAACGCGGCCGGTGGCAGCCACATCTCCTCGAGAGAGGTGCGGCCACAGCTCTCGACTAGGCCCGGCGTCGATTGGCAGCGGCCCATGGCAACTACATTAAAGTATTTTACTGTTTTTGTGGTTTAAATCAAAATCGTTCGCAAACGGAAACGAAAACGGACGCAAATGAAATCGATAACGAAAAAAGGAAGGAAAGACGGAACGGAAGGCGAAAACAATCGAATCGTGTTATTCTGGGGCAATCGTATTCGTAGTCGTATTCGTATTTGGTATCTTTGAATTTCGAAGGGTGTTTTGTTTTGGGGGCGGGGCTGGGAGGTCTAGGAGGTGGTGGGACTGGAGTGGATATGGGGGGCTGGCAGTTGGGAGGTTGTTGTGGGTGAGGAGCAAATAAGACAAGTGCCTTACCTTTCTCCAGGGGAGCCTTCTTGTACTTCTCCAATCGCTTGACGGCTATCGACTCCAGACGAACACGCGCCGCCGGATACTCCTTCAGCACGTCCCACATGTCCTTCTTGCTGAGGACGAAGAGGTCGCTGTAGCCCACGGAGCGAACGCTGGCAGTGCGTCGGTTGCCTGTTTTTGTTTCGCATCGGGAAAGTTGGCAAAGCAAATGTTTGCCAACGCAAAGAGAAAAGTTTAATGGTCTTGCAAAAAAGCATTTCCCTGGGTGAGTCTGGGCTGTGTGTGTGTGTGTGTGTGTCTGTTGTGTGTTGGTGTGTCAGTATGTCCTTAGATTCTTCTTGTTGACTTGGGCGCACAAAGACATTAAAATTGCATGCCACACACAATATGGATGTGGTAGATAGAATTGGGTTTTGAGGGGGGGGCGGGTTTCGAGGCATTTCGAAAAGGAAAATAGGAACATCCTGGCTGTATTTTATCTTGGGGGAGTAAATATTGAATGGGATCAACGGAAAACATGTTTTGATTAAAATATATGACCAGAGCTGGGTTGCTGGGTAAAAATTTCAAAAAATTTCCAAATGCCCATGCAGTTTCAATGTTTCTTTGTCCAACCAGAAGAATCCAAGTGGTTCGTGTGTGAGTGTGTGTAAACAGGTCGTATACTTAATTTAAATTACACACAAATTTCAATACAATTACGTGTAGAGAAACGTTTAAATTACGTCCAGGCAAAGCAATACAACAACAACACCGACTCTTAAACAGTCGAAGGCAAATATATCGAGAGAGATGTAGAGAGATACACAGATATTAAGATAGAGATAGATAGATAGATAGATAGATAGAGAGAGAGAGAGGTATAGCTACTAACTAACGTAAGAAATTGCATGTCGGTGCGAAATTCCTTTAGGCCATTCTCACCGTTGATTGGACGTGAATGGAACCAAACCGTAGAATAAGGCTTAAATCATGCAGAAACACAAAGAAACTTTAAACAATTCGATTTCGCCATCTCTAATTGTTTGGGGCGATTGTTATGGGACACTGGATCGGAGTGGGGCCGAGGGGCAGTGGGCGTTGGGCGTTGGGGCTGTCAAACTTTTCGGGGCACCTTAACTTTTGTCTGCAAATTGAGTTGCCAACACTTGCTGTTCCGTAAACTCAATTAGGTGGCACGACGCCTTGAAGTATGCAACGGGCAGATATCTCGCATGCATTTGGAACTCTCACAGCGCGCACAATACTCTTAATTATGACAGTGCCCCGGGGGCGCGGATGGGGACGGGCCAGGCCGGGCCACGACTGAATTTCACACTTGGCTGGCCAGGACCATTACATGAAAATTAAAGTGGCGTTAAGTTCAGTAAATTGTTTTTATTTTCGAATCGCAACCACAATTATTGCGGGCACTTTTGTTTTTCTTGTTTTTATGAATGCCTCTACAATAAAAATACCGAGAACAATAAAAATAAAAATGAAAAGACTCGTGTGAGAGCATGCAGGTGCAATAATTGCATTTGACATTCATTAATGTTTCAACCATATATGTATGTATTTATTGCAGTGCTCTTGTGCGTGTGTGGGTAAAGGGAGTGCAATACAAAATTGTTGCATACTTTTTGGGTTGGCGGAAAAATGAACATTGAAAAGTTACTGAAAAACCAAACACAATCAAAAATTTACCAAAACAAAAAAAAAATGAATAAAAAATAGTGTTTCTATATTTAATGTTTAAAATCGATGGAAAGTGCTCTTCTATTTTGGTTGCTAGTTGGGGACTATTGTATTTGGGATCTCCTTAACACTTAGTTGCACGATTATAGACAATTACATTCCACACTGACATAGAGATACGGTTGCTTTTCTAGTAGATTTCTAGTAGATTTTGTGTGTAAGTGTCTGCTGGGGGAGCATAATATGGCTGATATTCTCAATGGGGCTTGGGGTTGGAAGGTTGTTGTAGTAGTTACGTTATCGTTATTGTTCCGCCTGTCGCACTAAAACGGGATATTTACCAAGTTCTTTACCTGCGGTGCCCATATTGAGTATACTAATCTCGCCAAAATAGGAACCGGCCTTCAGGGAGGCCATCACCGTCTTTCCGTTGTCGGCCACCACCTGCAATCGTCCTCGATTCACAATGTACATTTCCTTCCCCACCTCGCCTGGAATGTTATTGTGACAAAAAAAAAACTGGTCAAGTGGCTGGAGTGATTAGGGACAGGCAGACATACCCTTTCTGCAGATGTAGTCGCCGGGCGAGAAGAGCACGGGTCTCAGGCGCAGGACCAGCTCGCAGAGGAAACCGGCCTCGGTATTTTGGAAAATCTCCACCCGCTTAAGTGTATCTAAATGGACGTTAATTGCTATTTCAGCCTGTCGGAATAAAAAAAAAAAAAGATTTCGCTTTCAGTAATGGATAAATCGTGTTCAGGGTAAGGCTTCGGTGTACTTGCCTTTAATTTATCAGGAAGACAGGACACGGCACGCTCCTCGTCCGAGCATTTTTGCGTGAGCCACAGGTAATCGAACCATTTGATGACCTTCACCTGCAGATGATTCGGCACACGTCGCATCCGCATGTACGTCTTGACGCCATCCAGTTTGGCTAGAGTACCCAGAAAAAAAAATGGGGAAAAATGGGGAGTTAGATGGGAAAACAAACAAGATGAAAAAGGAAAATGTTTTATTTGTATTTGCTGAGGATTTTCCTGGAAATTGATACGCGCCTGGCATACAAAGTGCCTGGAATAAGGGTGTTGTACAATGGTAATATTAATTGGAACAAACAAAATACAAAACTTGTTTGTTCTCTAATTTTTTTTTTTTAATAAATCAAGTCAGGTCAGAATTTAAAAATCCATAAAAAAGAATTTGTTCACTTATACATTACAAATCACTATTGAATAAAGAAATAAACCTTTCATATAAACCTCCTCAGAATATTAAACATCATAGTTCCAAGAAATATTTGTACATTCCAATAATCTTGTACACCTAATCCAATATTCACTCCAAGATTTTTGTATTCTAGCCCATGGTTTGGGGGCTTTTCTTTCTAATCGGTCAATCAAGATGGTCTGCATAAATTTGTAATATAGGGATTTGAGCTGTCCGGCAAAAGATGCCTCTTGTAAGCTCTTCCCGGCCAGACCGGCAAGTCCGGCACACCTGGCGTATACTTGATATTGATTACTAAAGCTCCCGGAGGAGTTGGTTTACCGTATAGGTTTATCTTCTGTTTAGCCAGCAATTAACAATCCCTCGAAGAGCACGCACAAAGGAACTAACCGCTTTGTACACGGCTTGGTGGTGCGATGGCGCCACAGTGGTGCAGTGGCAGCTGCAGCTTAACAATGAGCGATGTTCGCTCGATTGGCCATATCTGTTATATGTCTATAGAGGGAAGTGAGGCATTCCATGTGACCAGGCGCTGCTGGACTGCTGGGAACACGATTCTGTTTGAGCAATATTGATGACAACTGGCCTTTTGTTTTTAGTTTCCTCGCTGGCTGGCCCCCTCCTTCGACTGGCAACGCCCAGTCGTCGATAAGAGGAAATTAAATCTCTTGGCTCGTCAGTGGTAACAAATATTGACACAATTTGTCGGCGGTTGCCAAAGGGGGGATGTGAATGGGGGATGTGGGCGGCCTGGCTAGCTGGGTGGAGCAGGCAGGTAGAGCTGGCTGGCTCTCTGGCTGGCTGAGTGCTGCGTCTTTTGTGTTTGCTCGTGCAAACATTTGAAAACCAACTGACAAACAGGCAAACAGATTGAATACAAATAAATACCCAGTTACCAGGACTCTTAGTCCGGGCGGAGGTGCGGCGGTGGGGCGTGGTCAGCGGCAGGGACATCATCTATAATGCAATCAATCGCCAGCTCCCCAATGGCACGCATATTCCCAGTTGATCATTTGTCATTTCCCAATTGTCAGATGTCCTTTGTTGTCAATCTCGAATTTCGGTTCGATTGTCTTACAATAATGGACGTGAAAAGGTGGGGGAGTGGGAGAAAGTACAACTATTATTCCCAAAAATGTCTAAAAATAAACACAAGCTTGTGCCTAAGCTATTTAATCTCAACTAACTTCATAGGATCTAACAAATAAATCCATTTCTCTATTTAATTTAAAAATACATTTGGTTTCTGATTCTTTTGCTTTCCTTAGTATTGTGTTGCTTCTTCCGGGTAAAATGAGAGATTATTGAATGGAAATGTCTGCCTCCTGGCAGCCATTACACATATCGGATATGGATAACGTTAGAAACGCCGTGCACACACACCCACATACATACACATCCTGCCATACTGTCATCTCCCATTTGCCTTTTAGCCATTTTCCTTCTCTATGCCAACATTTCAGTGACACAAGAGCCATGCAAAATTACAGCGATTTTTATTGCGGCGCTGCTCGAATGCATTCGACACCCAATGGTTGAATTTTGCTTCAATTTCCACCACCCTCCAGCCACACTATTATCCAACCAGACACCCACTCTACAAGGAGGTCCTTGCGTGTTTTTGTAACAATTGAAAATCAATCTAAATATTAATTGCATATTTCATGGAAAAAGGCAAAAATAAACAAGAAGAAATCAAGCTCTTTTCATAATGGCCGCACACTATCAACTATATATTTTCTCGTCGATTTTTCATTTATTTTTGGTTAGCAAGGATGCTATTTCTCTTTTTTTTGGGTCCTGTGCATTCGGTAATTGCGGTTGCTTTCGACGGACTTGCCGTCTCTCTCTAGTCTGCCGCATCCTGTCTCTTTTTGTCAGCCGGTGTCTGTCTTGGTTTTTGGTGTTTTTAGAAATTACTCGAGCTTTAATTCCTTTGCTTGCTCTGTGGCTGAACAGAGCTTATCCTGTTCCTTTCGGCCTCGCTCCGTTTCGTCCTGTTTTGTTGGCCCTTTTCACCCGCTTTTGGCCCGCCCAAGCCCATCTCCTGCCCGCTCCTCCGTCTTCCATCTCGGTGCATTTTGCTAGCAAAATTTAATTTGCCATTTTTTGCCCTCAAGTCACTTGGCTGCGTTTGGCCAAAAAGAGACGAAGTCGGCCAAGAAGGGAGAACTGCATTTGGCTTCACATTCAGCTTATTTCTTATTTATTTTTCATTTTATGCTCTGCTTCGCCTACAGTTGCCCCCGGCGAACTTTGATCCGTTTCTGTTGCAATTTCTTTATTTTATTTTATTTTTTCATTACTTGGCTCCCGCTTTGGTTTTTGTTTTTTGGCCGACTTAATAGGGTCGGATGGCGGTGTCACCTCAAACTAAGCGACGCCGTTTCCCAATAATTACATTTACTGTTTTGACTTGACTTTTGTCTCTCCACCCCTCGCCGACTGACAGGCGAGGACAATTGCCGCCGAAGGATCAACTGCAGTTTCCAGACAAAAGTCGCAGATACGTGGAATGGGAGATGGGAGGTGGGATGTGGAATGGGCCGTGCCCCCGTATGTGTATGTTATGAAAGAAATCTGGGGTGCAAAAGTTCAAGCCATTGTGTGGCAACAAACTGCAGCAGCAAGTTTTCCAGCAGCCCCACCGAACAATAAGGGGATCACATACAAACAGTAAATATGCGTGACAAAAACTTGCTCTTCCGGTGCCACAGTCTTTTCATAAAAGCGCCACAGAAAAAAAATACTGGGGAAAAGATGAAAAAACCAAGGCCCGGGAGGAGCTGGAGAAAAGGGCGTTTTAGCCAAGTGAAAATTGCAAACTAACTAGAAACCACTTAAGAGCCAAGCTGATGTGTTATGCCAAAGTCGGAAGTTGTGCTCGGTGGGAGGTGGTGGTCCAGAAGACAGAACAATGGCCTCAAATGGGAGTTGAAAAGAGTGCACAGAATGCGCACAGGAATCGAAGGAATTGTCTGCGATTATCAGTCGAGTGCAGGGACAGCCAGGACACCCAGGGACGAAAACTAATGGTCTGTAGCCATACTATGCTATCATCTAACTTTATCCCAAAAAAAAAAAGTAAGTAAAGGCAGGAGGTAGGATAAGGTATGCAATTGAAATTCCATCGTTATGGTGAGAAAAGTTTTCCAATGATTATTTTAATGGTATTTGGCCATGTTCGCTTTCAATATAAATAACCAGAAATAGCTTTAATCCATTTGATATTCAGGTGGAGCTTAAAACTCATATTTCATTTTGAAATATCATAGTTGTTTAAGCATTCAAGTGTACGTTTCAGAGCCGGGATATCCAATTTCGAGCCAAATGTATTCCGCCTCTGATTTTTGCACCTTAATTATGCATTTGCCGCTGCTTGGGCTGCGCCTTCAGGAGTTGGATGAGGCAACAAACAATGGCCAAGTGGCAGCCGTGGCAGCAGAGAGTGGAGATGGTCGAATGAAATGCTGGGATGGATTTATTCAGGCGGTAACTAAAAATAAATGCGGCGAGCACCTTGTGGAGCGTTTGCTGTGGCAGGAGCGAGGCTGGGTGCCAAGGGGCAGCCGTTTGCAATAACAATGCGCATGCCAGATGCAGCGGGCGCTGGGCTGAAATCCTTGGCAAATTCGCCATTCAAGGATAATGGAATACTTTTGCCCTTAAAGAGCAGCTACATGCCGTAATACAACGGCAGAATACAAAACACACAGAAAAAACGGGGGAAAAAAATGTAAAAAACAAAAAAAACAAAAAAAAAGGAAAAAACTGAAAGGAGGAAACAACAACTGCTGCTTCGGCTGCTGCTGGTTTGTTCTAAAAATACGACAGTAAGTTGGTGTACATGCAGCTTAATGGGCAAAAGCGGCCACCAGCGGCGACTGCGTCTACGATATTGATTGGAATCCGCATATACACCAACACCAACGAAACCCCCCATCCTCACACACACATACACATACTAATACACGTGTAGTACCGTTACAGCTGTGGGGCATAACCAGAAGCAAACATAAACTTGAACAAACCTACACTCACACACAGTGGACATGGCTGTGGCAAGCAAAAGCAAACAGCGAAACGAACAACAAACACAAACCAAGCTGAAAACACACACACACACACACACACCCATACACGGCGATTGGAAGGACCCTCACCCATACAGTCATACACTCTTTACACCCATACATACGCAGCAAGGACGGGCAACTTAAAGTGGATAATGGACGTGGCTGCAGCCCCCTTTCCGTCGCCACGGCAGGATGAAAATAAAAAGTAACGGAAAAAGAGGTACGGGCCCAAGGAGTCACTCAAATCGAAGAAAGCGATACCCTGGAAAGTCCTTTGACAGCCCACAGCCACTGGAATCCCAGAGATGTCCGTTTTGAAAAGGATACTGTTGTAACTGTCACTGGGGAAGTCACAAAGAAAAAGGGTTTACAGCGAGAAATAGCGAATATTTGATGGAAGTTGTAGACTTTAATTGAATCCTTTTTGATTTATATGTTTCAAATATTTTAATTTTAAGACTAATTTCTAAAAAGGAACCTGGTTTCCTTCAGTGTATTGCAAGGATATCGCCGCGTCCGCGCCAATGGCAAATGTGGAAGCGCGTTCTTGGCTCAGTTCGTTTGCCTTTCGTCACTTCGTGGCTCGCTGCTATTTTAGAGCCACCATTGTGGGGCAGCATCAACAAGGCTAAAACAACAACAACAACAACTATACTGGCAACAACAAAAACAAAAACAGAAACAATAAAGCAAACAGTAACACTTAGTCCATTATGCGTTTAGCAAGTCAAAAACGCTTGGAAAAGCCACTACAAATCTTCGCCAGCTCCACCGCTCCGTTAAGTCAGCATCCAGGATGCTAGAGCAACCAGCATCCAGGATGCTAGAGCAACCAGCATCCAGCATCCAGCTCCTTTTTAGCCCCTTTCGTGTTTGTTTGCGTTGGCTTAAATTGAGCGAGTAAATTGTTTTAATTGCGAGGCCAAAAGCCAAGTCCGGCCAGCCAAGTCCCGGCCAAACAGACGTTAATTGTAAATGAAGACTGAGAGCACTTTGCTGGCGAAACTCACACCATTCGAAATTGAATAAATATTTTAAAACTAAATAAGCCGGCAAATAAAATTGGTAGAAGCATCATACCATCAGAGATATCTGGCCAAAAGGAGTGAGAAAGGAGGTCATGTGATTCATATGCAAACTGCCAACATGCATCAATCAAGGTCCGTTGACAGTTTTGCTGACAGCGGCAAAATTTGCATAAAACTATTTACAATAACAATTACATAATGGCACGGTGAGAGAGAAAGCGATAGAGAGGGTGACCAAAAAGAGATGGGGCTACAATTTACATAATTTTAAATGTCAGTTTTTGAAATGCTGTTTGGACCGAAGCCAAAACATGGAAAATTCAATACACCAAAGGCTCTGGGCCGGTTGGTGGTCTACACTACAAAAAAGAAGGGATTATAAGGTCTCTGCAAAATATTTAAAAAATCTTAATCCCCTCAAAGAATTCATTATTTTATATATTCTTCATCCTCAATCCTTTTTTGCGTGGCCGTGTGAGAGCTAGTCGATTATCGCAGGAACGGCAAACTTTTGCTCTTGTCGGCGTTAACAAGCCACAGCCATGCGTTTAACTAAGCGTGAATGTAACAGTGTGGGTGTGTGTGTGTGGGTGTGTTAGTGGGAGAGGGGCAAAAGGATGTGGGGATGTCCTGGCCAAGCCTGTCAGCATGTGGCTGTGTTTGTATGGTATGCCCGGGTAGGAGCAACATTGTTGCAAAATGATTTTGAAAAAAAAAGAACCATCAATAACTCAAATATAATGACAGTTTTATAATGCCACCACCCTAGGCCCCCACGCACCACCACACCACCCTGCACCACCCTAAGTGGGGCTAAATGGATGAATAACTTAAGCCAGCTGCTTTTCCTTCTTGCCTCTTAGTGTACGTTGTTATGTAATGTAATAACGTCAATCAAATTTAAAAAGGCAGACCAACTATTTCAAAATCAATCTTCATGGCCTGAGCCCACCCACCCTTCGCCCCTTCCCCGCCCCTCTCGAAAAGAGGCGAGTCGGAAAAGCGGCGGAAGGAAACAGGAAAGCGACCTCGGCTTAAGCAAATACGCCAGCCAGCAACGAGCACAAGTTGTTGCTGCATCTCTCAGTTATTCCGAGTTATCCTGAGTAGGATGTAGAGCACAGGATGCCAGGATGTAGGCTAATGTAGCAGAAGACCCAGTCTCAGTCACTAAGCTGTGACTAGCGGAATTCGCAAAGAGTGAAAAAGTGTCTTTTGCTTTAAACTTTTGCCAGCCCCAGTCCAGGGAGGTCGGAGGAAGGAAAAATGTAAATCATTAATCATCCGCCATGTGGGACGGGCGACAACATTTCATTTGCTTATCATCTCGGCTCAAAGCCTTTTGGGGGCAACAACGAGCAACAGCAGGCCTCAAAAGTTGAATGCCTCAAATGGGCTGATGTCGAGAAACTTATTGCTAAGCCTAGAAATCCCCGAAAAGTCAATGGCATTTGAGAATTTGTGAAAGTTGAGTGAAAAATAACTGAAAATGTGCGTCATTCTACGTAATGGAAGTGAGTTGATATCTTGATTTCAGCTAAAGTTTACTAATTTAATGATTTATTATAATTTTGAAAAGGATATTATTGTCCTTCATAAAACTCAACTTGATCCAAACACTTAAAACTATTCAATCTGTTATTTGTATTTTTTTCCCCCGTAAGCTGAGTTTTTTATGACCGGACAGGACTACTGCCCATCATCATCATCATCATCATCGTCCTGGCCACTCGAGGCAAGCGCTGAATTGACAAATTGATGGATGGTTCTCCAAAGCTTCTCTCCTTTCTATTATTTTCTGTTTTTTTTCGCTCTCGGCCCTCTGGATCCTTGGATCCTTGTAGTGTATGATGCATTATTATTCCAGCAAAGTTTGCAACCACAAACTCAGCTCGGCTAAGTGTTTTATTAGCCATCGAGAGCAGAGTCCGAGTTCGGTTGAGTTGAGTTGAGTTGATTGTCAGTTTTTGTACACACATAGCTTTTTTGTACACCACTTTCCTGGATTATTTTGTGTTTTATTGGGTTTTGGTTTTGGTATTCCTCCTAGTCCTGCCATCCTAGTCCTTTTTTGATGGCTGCGAGTCAGTTGACCAAAGAGCAGTATGACGAGCTGAAGGAGGCTTTTGAAAAGTTCGATGTGGACCGCAGTGGCAGCCTTTCGCCGGGCAAAATGCGTCTGGCGATGCTGTCGATGGGTCACGAGGTCACCGAAGCGGAACTGTTCGGCCTAATCGACTCGGTGGCCTCGGACGAGGACCACAACGTTCATATGATGGCCTTCATCCATCTGATGGCACCCCGGATCATCGAAACGGACAGCGAGGACAGCCTGAGGCGCGCTTTCAGGCTTTTCGATCGCGACGAAGACGGCTATATCGGACCCCAGGACATGCGTTCCATTCTGCAGGTCCTAGGCATCGTTCTAACCGACGAGGAGATCACGGATATCTGTCGGGAGGTGGACTTCGACTGCGATGGTCGCATAAATTTTCGCGACTTTATGAACTTTATGTACAGTGCCGCATATTAGTCATAGGGTCGCAATAAAAATTGAAATTGAAAATTTGCCTTTGACAAATATGCCGAAAAAATGCAACAATGCTATGCAGTGAGAAAATTTACATGGCCTAGAAAAAATATGAAATAAAATTGGTCTACAAAAGTTGTCCCACAACCCCTTCGTATTCAGCCTAACTTCGTTTTAATTAGCAAAAAAAAAGTGTTTTTTAACTTTAATTGCGAGAAACTAATATCATTAAGTCATTTTTCTGTCTGCAGAGGGGGGAAAGCACAGAAAAAAAATGAAAATGGAAAACGGAAAGAAAAAATTGAGAGCATAAAGCCAGAAATTAATTCAACAGCACGTTTCGTCCATTAAGCCGCCAGAGCTTTGCTTGCTGACTTTGCCATCAGAATAGTCCCCCGCCCCTGTCACGCCCCTGCCCCTCCCCCTTCACCAGCCAGGACATGGCATGGACACATGTGCAATGGCCACACACACACACAAATACACAAACACACATGCAAAGTGTTGTGTAAACAAGTCAGCTGCCAGTTGGCCGGCAATTGCAAGCGGAGCTCGCATACATACATGGATGGAACGGATGGAGAGGAAGACGCACAGGAAGAAGGCTCTCCTGAAGCCAAAAGGAGAAGCAGAACATGCCAAAAGGAATAAAGGGGCCACGCCCCCTTCTGGACCGCCCATTGGCGTTCAATTGTGCTTTGTTTGCGCTTCGGCCACAGGACAAATCGGGGCCACCTTTGGAGCCACCTCGTCCAAGCTGTGAGCCTTGAGCCGTGAGCGGTGAGCCGTGAGGGGCTTTAATATTTTTCAGCTGACGGTGCCCTTAATGAAAGCCACAAATGATGCTACTGGCTCTTCTTCTTAATACTGTTTCCGTTTCCGGTAATACTACACTTGACAAAAATTATTTCCAATAATAGTTTCTTAAAAAAAAATAATAAAACTGTCACTAAACCAAAGAAAAGGCTAAAACAATAAAACTAGTATAGATTCTAGATAATAAAATATAATTTATTAAACTAGTTATCATTATTTTCCCGCAGTGTAGCTCAGTCTAGTCCTTCTTTGCCTTTCACTTGGCATTTTCCACTTAGCTGACTTGGATTGCTCTTGCATTTCGTCCAGTTATTTATGGCCAGGCCGAGTAAACGAGTTCATTTAGCTAATGGCCGCACGCCCAACTGAGCCTACAAGAGATTCCTTCACGAGTCCTCTCGTGTCCTTTGAGCTCCTTGCCATCCACAATGGACATGGCTGGCGGCGCAGGCCCCGTCATTGCCATGGCAGCGCCAGATTTCAATATTTTGCATAAAATTGCCGAGCTGGCAAAGCTTTCAACCCCACAATAACCCTATAACGTCTATATATAATCTCGCCCGGAATTCGTCCTTCAAGCAGCGCCTCAGCTTAAGAATAAGTACGAGAATATTTGCTCATTGTTGTCCTATGGATTCCCGTCTCTTGTGTGTGTTTCCCCTTTTTTTCCATCCATAATCCGCATTCATATGCTGGCAGGTCCTTTCTCGGTTGTCAGGACAACTAAAAGCAAGAGTTGGTCAACTGCTTTGGCAAAACTTGGAATTCTTGTGTTGATACACAGAAATCCATGCCTTCATATCCATTGTCATAGTCCGGCTGGCTTAATAAAGCTTTGCCATAAATAAAGTGAAATTATTTTGTGAAATACAAGCTAATATTTTCCATTCGTGACTCGCTTTTTCCAAAAGTCATACATTTTCGAGGAAAATAATTTCTATTTTGAGGAATTTTATTGTCAAAGTAAATATTTGTCATTTCTTTAATTGCTCTTTTGTTCTTTTATTTATAATTATGCTAAGTACTGACATATTTTCAGGGTTTTTGTTTTCTTTAGATACAGAAACTATCAGAGGTCTATTGTTTTTCAAATAGTGTATTGTTTTATAGTGTTTTTTTAGTTCTAGTTTAAGTAAAACCTAACTCACTCATAGAAACCTGAATTATAATATTTTTAATAACAAGATACACCTTAAATACACCAGTATATACTTTAAATCATAATATTATGTTAATGACCTTTAAATAAGTACTTATAGAAGTTAAGCAAATGTATCGAAAGCTTAAAGACAATGGTATCAAAGTTGGTCCATCGCCAAAATAAAGAATAAATTTTAAGAATATCTTTTTCTGAAAATCACTTTCCACTCACCTTGAAACTCCTTGCGTGCTGCACTCACTGACGTCACTATATTGGCCACATGCCCCAATACCGTAGCGAAGAGCATCAGGCCGAAGAGCAGCTGCAGAATAACGAAGACGTACTCGCCCTTGGAACGCGGCTTGGGCAGATCCCCAATGGTGGTCAGGGCGAGAGTGCACCAGTAGTAGCTCTGCAGATACTGCTTGACGACGTCCGCCGACTCCGAGTCGTGGTAGACCCAGTTGCGCGATCCGAAGCCATTGTTCTTGTGGATGATGTGGTAGAGGCACCCGTTCCAGTGGAATATCACAAGCAGGTAGTGGATCAGGGCCGTGCTCCGGAACAGATTGGGGTAGTTGGTGTGCCGCTCGGTTCGGTCCATAAAGGCCCAAAACCGATAGATCTTCACCAGCCGGAAGCTGCGCAGGATCGAGTTGAATCCGATGGACAGGTAGAGGAAGTCCAGCGGCAGCAGGCACAGGCAGTCGATGTAGAAGATCGTCGAGTTCATGTAGTGGGTGCGCAGCTTCAGTGCGTCCGTTTGAAGCACCCCATCCTCCAGATAGCCGGTGCGGAAGTGGAAGAATATATCGATCAGATACAAAAAGTCGGATAGGTAGTCCAGGCAGAACCAGATCGCGATCGTGCGCCGGTTAATCTCCTGGAAGGCGAAGCGGTAGATTATCACCCAGAAGTTGTACAGGAAGGCCATGGAGACGACCATGCTCCAGTAGTAGCACAGTCGTCCCGCCGGATCGAACACAAAGTGGAGTTTTCGCGCCGCCGTCGCCGCCCTAATCCGCTGCGAGGCCGTGCGATGTGGTTTTTGGTGGTGCGGCTGCCCATGTGGCCCCGTCCCACTACCGCCCCCGCTTCCAGCTCCACCGTGGTGCGGATGCTGGGGATGCCCGCCGTGGGGCGGCCCCGGGCCACCAGGTCCCCCTTGGGAGGGCGGGCCGTGAGCGTGCGGGTGGTGCGATACCGTGGAGGCCGAGTGTTGCAGCTGGTAGGGGTGGTGCGGCTGCTGGGCGGCGTTGTGGTGCTGCGACCTTGAGCGCGGGTAGCTATAAAATAAATATTAAATTTAAGAAAAATATTTTAATTAATGATTTATTTCCAATTATAAAGAAAGGTCCACTTACCGATCTGTGCCGTTGCAGTAGTTGCCGCCATACTGAGCATGTCCACCCATGGCCAGGCTGGTGGCACCGCCGCCACCGCCACCGGCCAGGGTGTTATCCTGGGAGCCCGTGGAGCGACCCGTGGAACGATTCCAGGTGCCCAGGAGCGGCTGATCTCCGCTGGTCGTCGTTTTCAGGCGACCGCGGGACATGTTGCGTTGCTTGTTGTGCAGAAGATCCATTTCGGAGGCAGTGCTTACGGTGGCCATGTGCGAGTTGGAGGCTCGGGAGGCGCATGGTGTGGCCAGGCTGTCATGCGAAGTGAAGAAACCTTGTTGCGAGACGCTCTGGCCGAATTTCGGCTGGGTCATGCCAAACTTTGGTCCTAGATCTGTCGATAAAAAAAATTGAGGAGAAATGGAAAGCTTTTAGAAGGATGAAGGATACAGTAATGGTGAAGTTTGTAGATCAAGGAAGGTAAGAAAAAGCAAAAGGCCATTTTAATTTAAGATATTACTTGGAAGGTTGGATTGAATTTAAAATATCTATAAACTTTCTTTGGAGTTACAGGATTGGAGGGTATCTGGGATCACTTCGGCCTTACCGAGAAAGCTCTGGCGATCGATCGAGAAGCGCCGCAGGCTTCCCAGATCGATGAACTGCTCATCGCTGGCCAATGTGGGTGTGATCGAGAGTTCGGTTGTGTGTATGGCTGATGCACCACCACCACCACCACCACTAGAAGGACCGCCACCCAGGGCAGGACCACCAATGCCACCACCCACCGATGTCGCCGCCCCGCCACCGCCCACTGTAAGATTTGTGCAGGTGGTGCCGCCGCCGGCACTGCCGCCCATTCCGGCGCCCAGGTAGCCTGCATTGCTGGCATAGAAGCTGCCGTCCAGCTCGGCCATCTGCTGCTCGTAGGCGGTCAGCGGGTTGATTGACCTCGAACTGTGATCCCGGTACAGGGGGCGGGGCGAGGGCATCAGCGAGGGGTTGAGGAGCCCGTTGAGCGAGAGCCGTGGCTGCATGATCTCCGGGAAGCTGGCCCGTGGGGCTAAATTGTAGCTGTTTCTGTTGCTGTTACTGTTGCTTTTGTAATTGTTGTTGCAATTGTTATTGTTACTGTTGCTGATGTTGCTTTGACGTATTGCTGTTGCTTTGGCTGCTGCTGCTTCTGATGCTGCTGCTGTTTTGGTTTGTTTGGTTTGTGGCCTGTCATGTGTCGGATTTGGAACCTTCTGCTCTTTCAGCCATCGTATATCATCGTCATCATCATCTGCCCCAGCATCGATTTCGATGTCGACATCGCCACGTCCATATCCATATCCGTCTCCATTTGCATCGCCATCTATGGCCGCCTCACGCCTCAGTGTGGGCGTGGCAACTGCACTTGCCACACACAGCCAAACACACACATTGTGTTTTCAGAGTATTTTGATTAATTTTGTAATTGGTTTCGCATTTGATTTATGTATGTGAGAAATGTGAGCAGAGTATAGAGTTAAATTAATTGCATATTCTCCATTAATAACATTTTGTTTTTGTTTTTATTTTTATTTTTTGTTTTCTAGAGCGAAACACACACACAGAAACAGAGAGATATGAGCGAATAAATCACATTAAGAACGGGTGAGAAGGGTTTTGTTTTGGGTGGTTTGGTTTACTGATTTGGTTGGTTGGTTGGTTGGTTGATTGGTGGTGGTTTGGTGGCTACAGGTGGTTTGCTGGTTGGTGGTGGTGGTGTCGAAAGTGTTGGTCTTGAACAACAACTCAACTGCAATAACGTTATCAAATAGCAACAGCATTCAACAAGAAACAACAACAAGATGTACGAGAAGGTTTGTATAACATGGATTCTAGGACTTGTACAGTTATTTATTTAGGACTAGAACTAGTTAACTCTTACCGGGTAAGGATACACAGAGAAAAGCGGGTATACATAGGAGTGGAAAGGTGTGATTTCTTTAGCTAATCTTAAAACTGTTTTAAAAGTAATTTAGTAACAGATCTCAATTATCTCATCTCTTTTAGAGACCTTATTGCTTTCATTTATATTTTTAAAACCTTCTACACAAATGTACTTAAATTATAAGCCAATTGAGAGGTAATAACTGTGTACAGGTGGCATGCAAAGCTCAAGTTGGCTTACAAGGTGATGGCCAAGTACCTTCGCACCAAAGTTGCTATATGTACCTTCGTTCTCTGGGCTCTCAAAATGTGATAATAAAGTTGGATTTAATTACGTGCGCCTAAATGGGGCATGCAACAAAAAAAAGGAGGGCAAGTACATACATATACAGAGGGGATGGAGAAGGAGAATGGGGAGGGAGTCACACACGCGCCGGTCGTTGGAGCTTCATTACTTTTAACCAGCTGCCTGGCAACTGAAGCTGCCACTTGGAAATTCATGAGCTGCCACATGCAAAGGGTCCAGGATCCAGGAGTTAGGAGCTAGCGCCTGGCCTGGTCCGGAGCCTGCTCAAGTGCCACTTGACTGTCGAAACAGCAAGACAATGGCCAAAGCTGTGTGTATTTTTGTATCAGCAGTGTCTGTGTCTCAGCCAGTATCCCCGATACTGTCGCCATCGAACTGCGTGCGGCGCCAATTTATTTCTATTACTATCACTTGGCCTTCTCCACAGCCTGTTGCTCTCCTATAGAGGCTACACAGGAACAAAGGACCTCTATTTTTATTGTCTCTCCGTTTGTTAGAGAACTCATCATTGTTCTCCCAGTGTAGTCACTAGATACCTGCCTCCAGCTGAGTGCCGTCCCATTGATTGTTGGCCGACCGCTTTTAATTATTGGCAGTAAGGCTCTCAGCTTCTGGCTAACGTAATTCAATTAGGCCGCCAAACAATGATGCTCGAGAGCCGCAGTTGCGAGACAAAATGCAAAAATTGTCAATTACTTTGGCCCACCTCACCTGCCACTCCCACGTTTTTCACGACTCCTCCGACACTCTCCAACACGAATTTGCACTTTCCTCGCCGGGCTATAATTTCTAATTAATTCGCGCTTAATGGCAACATACAAATCAACCTGACCGCGTTTATTTATTAACTAATTCCAGGTCGCCGGCCACGCCCTTACTGCGGCATTACTCTTGTGCCTGTCAAGTCGGAAAAAAAGTCTCGGTCCTTTCGGAATGTTTTTGACCCCGCTACCCCCGCGAATGCATTATTAATAAATTACGACATCTCTCCTGCATTAAGCGAGATTATACGCAAAGTTTATCATATTAATACACTATTCTTAATCCTCTTACGAGCGAGAAAGGAGGTCAACGCGATACTTTGTAATTGAGAATTTAAATGGTCATTAAAAATCGATACCGAACGTGTTAACTGCAGCGGAAGGCTCTTAAATATTTATTATGCAGAGGCCTTTAGTATTATGGGTATTATAGAGTAAAATAAGTAAAAGTTTTGACAAAACAAACAATCAGGACGTACGAGTATGGCGTCATTGGTAATTTACAAGCCTGTTGCCTATTTACGGGCGCTGTCAACGCAAATTGGGCCCACTACAAAGGACGAGAATAAGAAAGCAGCAGAGAGAGAGAGAGAGAGTGAAAGAATAAGAATCCCCTTTCGTCCCTGACCGCATTTATAAGTTTGCAGACATAATCTTGGCACTATTTAATTTTGCTAATAGTTGAGTGTCATTAATTTAAACTTTTGTGCTTTTTGGTTTGTCTTGGCTGTGGCCTTAGTGATAACAAAAACAGGACCAAGCAGTAAGGCAAAGTAAGGACGGTGGAAGGAGGCTCAGAGGATGAGAGGCTGAGACCGAGGAAAAATGAAAAATCTACAGCTTAATGTGCGGCACTTTGTCATGGCCTGCCAGCCGGAAACGGAAACTTGCGACAAACTTGCGCAAAAGTTCAACAAAACGCTTGAACGGCCTCACTCACACACACACACACAGAGAGTCATATATACCCACCACTACACAGACAGAGAGCCATGAATTGTCAATAAATTTGCTTGCCGCAAATCATCGCAACTTGGTTCGGCTTCGGTTGGTTTTTTGCCTGCCAGTAGCCAGAGCAGCCTGTCAGCCTGACTCTGCCACCAAAAAAATGTTGGCCCAAAGAGGAGCAACCAAAACCATGAGTTGGCCCAAATGTCCCCGACAAAACCAAGCAAAAAAAAAAAACAACTAAACCTCAATTATTTGGTGCAGCTGGCTCGGCAAATGAAAATATTTGAGAACAGAGAAAATACTTTGACAAAAGTTTGCGAGGAAACTTTACTTAAACATACTTCAGCCTTAAACAAACACGCGGCCCCAGAAGTGGAGAAGGGGCAACGAAAAGTGGAAATGGAAACTTGGGCTACACAAAAAGGAAGTCGAGCCGTAAAAACATTACTTGAAACAGAAACTTGGCCTAAACCGCCGCGAGGCACAGCCACTTCAGAGGCAGCTCAATGCGAAAGAGAATCTGAAAACCAGAAATAGTTAATCTAATCTATTATTATTATTTCTTGAAACCAGAACCTGATCCATGTAACGTGTCCTTTTCACTGCATGCACTTTGGGGTAGATTAGTGACCCAATCCTGTTCGTCCAACTGGCTAAATGTCCCCACACCTAATTGGCCCAAAGTTCGAAAAGGGATCGCGTCCGTGTGGCTTTAATTGGCACCGACCGGCCCGCATCTACTCCCTGTAGCCATGCACCATCCCAGGGACTGGAAAATGGCCAATAAAGCACTCAAATTCTGATTTTTCAGAGCTGTGAACTGAAAGTGGAAAGTGGAAATTCGATACTAGATGGCCGGAGTGAGTGGAAACGTTTGACGTGGGCGAGAATTGAATTTGGGTCGATGGATTCGCCATCCGGTGGTCGCTGTCGCTGGAGAAGTGGAGTGTGTGATTTCTTTTATTTCAGTTTCTGACAAAATGGCGCATTCGTAAAATGGCAACTGAATCCATACTGGCAAGACAACAGCTTCAACAGCACCTGTTTCTCCATTTAGGTAATGAATTTTGTGCATCTTGGCCTATTTTTCGTAGAGCGATGAGAGCACTCTAAGAGGCTCCACTCCGTAGGCAAATGCGTAATGATGGCATTAATGCAAACGACTTCATTTAATTAAACGCCTCCTTGCAGGGCCGAAAAGGAAACTGTGAAGACGCCATCATCATTGCGACTCATTGCCGCCATCGCATTACCCACCCCATCTCCCTTGCCATCTCATTCAATTCCGTCCCGAAGGATGTCTTTCTGGCACTCGTCCTGTGCGTTTGGTATGCATGAATGCGTATTAAGGTGCGATAGGGGGCGTATCACGCCCCCACTGTAGTGTGTGTGTGTGCGCACGTGCGTGTAAACGCGTGTGTTTGTGTAGGCGTGGCCAGGTGGGCCAGCTATCCACCGCAGGCGGAACAGATGGAGCACATGGAGGCACATGCCGCAGACCCGCCGCCAAAGAAGCCAATTCAATTACTGTTCGCGGGCCCTCTGTTGACATCGTCCTGCCAATATAAGCCTGCGAAACTGTGGCAGGTTAGAGTCCGCACTCCGGATATGGCAGATGGTCAAGCAAGGACTTCCGTTCCATTTTACATTGAATATTGGATAAAAATAATTATGATTAAGCTTGCCTGCAGATGGCGGAGCTTGATTATTGATTTTACAAATGAGTTTCAGTTGCTTATATATTTAAATAACTCCAAAAGTTTATTGTTTTAATCAGAGCGTCGAGTTAAGGACTTCAAATAATAGAAAGTGGCCAACAAAAGAATAGTTCTCTAATGTTTATAATCAAAATGGAATGCCTCTCCACTCTGACGACTAAATGTCCTTTAAATTTTCAACGCTTTCAATGTATTTAAGTGACTCGACTCATTAGCAGCCGAGCAACAAGGATGTCACACAGCTGCTGCTGCAAACCGCAAAAGCAATAAAAAAGTGTGAGAACATGGCCAGCGGATCCTGGTCTAGAGGATGAGGAGAAGGAGGAGGAGGAGGGTCGAGGGTGCAAGGACCCAAGCCAAAACTGTTCATTTGCATGCGCTGGCGCTCATTACATTTACATTAAACTTTTAATATGCGCGGACATGTGGGCGAAAAGGAGAAATAAGTGGTAAGGCACGATGGAAGTGGCGAGCCAGGATATGCATACGTATACGCTATATATTGTATGCCGCACATGCAACACGAGGGTGCAGTAATGCGGGTGCAAGCACTGAACGCTGAACACTGAAATTGAGTGACAAGCGATGGCGGTTGCCCGCATTCGAATATCTTCATTTCCCATGGAATACGAGAATGTAGGTAATTACATTCTGGCCTGGCCAGAGTATCCTTTTTTTCTCGTCCTGATCTGTGGCGTTTTGGGACCATTAACCCACACCGCCTGAGCGATGAGCGGTG